TGTTTGAGTTATAGCCGTCACGAATGCTGAGAGGAGAGCTCGCTCGCATTATCGCCGTGATTGGCCGTGAAGCATATTATTATCATTGCAGGAGTTAAGATGTCGAGGTAATTAGAGGTGACAATAAAAGCCTCAATTTCGCGCCTTTGCAATTGTAGGGGAGTAATAGGGAAACCATGGGGAAACACTTAATTAACCATATGTGATAACCAGTGTAGAAAAACTACGGTTGATGGCGTATGTGATATGAAGTCTACCTAGAGTAGAACATATTCTGTACCGAAGACCGCCCGCTTATGCACATGAAGAGTGGATTGGAGTTAAGTTCATATTAGTAGCGATGATCCCAGAACCCTCAATAACGCTTTACTGCTCAAGCACCGTCTCGACTAACTTAGTGTATTTTATTTCCTATTTTTACCTTATCGTTTATAGTTTAGTAAACCCCTTTTATTCCGTTTCCCCGGTAACTTATAACATAGATTAGTTCCAAACTCCGGTTTGGGTGTGTATGGAACTGCGTAAGTGACAACTTAGTTGCGGGATTTGTGGTGCCTTCCTATTCACTCCATGTGGGATCGACAAACCTTACTTACAGCAAAATTGCTACAATATGTTGAATCTGTTGTGAATACATTCCTCTCTCTATGTTCTCTGTCTATGTTGTGAAGACTATCACAATGATCCTTTTTATTCCGCTGCATGTGACATGTCTTAGTTTATCTTCACTATTATTACAAGGGACAATTGCATTTTTACCCCTAGTTGGTTCCTACCCACGGGTTTTGCCCTTACTTTTCGAGCTTGCTCAGTTTTGCCCTTATTTTTTCCATTGAGGTCCCTCGAATGCCCTTTGACCGTTTGACCAAAACTTTGAAAATTCATAACTAATTCACATGAACTCAGAAAAATGCAAATAAGATATTAAAATGTTCAGATAAACATTACATTTATGGGCATATCATTTGCATTCAGGACAAAAGCATCGTTTAAACTACCCGAGGTAATTAATGTTATTAACATTATTAAAAATAAATAGGTAAAAACAATATTGTTTCCGTGAATAAAAATTATATACAAATGTAGGTGATGTTTTCTGAACATCCTGAAACCTTATTTGCATTTTCCTGAGTTCGTATCAACTTATTATGAAGTTTCCAAATAATGGTCAAAGTCGTTAGAACATTCATAACAAGTTGATACAAACTCTGAAAAATGCAAATAAGTTATCAGGATGTTCAGAAAACATCACCTACATTTGCATGTAATTTTTATTCATGAAAAAAATATTGTTTACACCTATTTATTTTTAATAATGTTAATAACACTAATTACCTCGGGTAATTTAAATGATGCTTTTGTCTTGAATGCAAATGATATGCCCATAAAGGTAATGTTTATCTGAACATTTTGATATCTTATTTGCATTTTTCTGAGTTCATATGAATTAGTTATGAATTTTCAAAGTTTTGGTCAAACAGTCAAAGGGCATTCGAGGGATCTCGACAGAAAAAGTAAGGGCAAAACTGAGCAAGCTCGAAAAGTAAGGGCAAAACCCGTGGGTAGGAACCAACTAGGGGTAAAAATGTAATTGTCCCTTATTACAATGTGTGTAGTTTGCTCTATGCTAGACTGTGCTTAGATAGTTTGTCTTCGCTACTGATACTCTGTTTATCCTCCCTGATTTTCTTCTGATAGTTTAGTTGACTAGAAGTTTTAAAATCTCTCATTCACCCTCCTCTAGTCGATATTTTCTCTTATAGAAGGTCAATGTCTTAGCCTCCTTAATCGAGGTGATGATGTGGTGGTGCCCTTCTACCAATTCCCTCTATGGATCCTTCTGGAGGTGAGTTTTTCTATTTCTGGTTCATGGTTTTGGCTCGGCATGGGAATGGACCGACCCGAACCTAGCCAATTCGAGAGGCCACGGGTCGTCCCATATAAAGAGTAGTCAGTGGCCTCGTAGTTCCGATGGGTATTTTGGGTTGACCCAAATTCTTGTTTTACATGCCTTGTGGACAAACAAGATGTGTAAATTAGACACGGTTTAATTCAGTCCGACTAGTGTAAGAATTACAATTTCTGTAAACACAAAGAATTAAGATTTCTAATACATGGTTAATGAAAAAATCATGTCGTCTATTTGTCATTTTATACGTGCACATATTGCTGAAACATATCAAGATAATTTTGTAATTCATATATGGAGCATTCATATGACAGTTTGCGTAGTAAAGTTGGGTCCTACGACAAGACCGGTGCAACGGAGATTTGCAGTTGCTGCGAGTTATAAGACTATAAGGTGGGCTGATCCCGCTGGACCCAGCGGGTCACCCGATGCCGGTTCTGTTGACCCAAATCTCGTTTGAGACCAACCCACATGACCCATTGTCCTCGAGTTTTTGGGTTAGATCAGCAACCCGGCGGGCCGACTCAGCTCATCTCCTTCATGAGTTTTGGCCTTTTTGTTCCTTCTTTGCGAGATCCAATCACACGAGTGTAAAACAGTTGACCAGATGGTAGCGGCGCCGTATGGTACAAGCATCGCTACGAGTGGGGCATGCTCATACCACACGCCGCCTTCTTCTCTGGAAGTTCCTACACAATTGGTTTTCTTCCCACATGATCTTCTCTTCATGGTAGATTATTATGATGTTAATTAGCATGATTTTCATCCAGAAAGTACTCCCTCCGGTCCTTTTTACTCTGCACATTGGATTTGCCGAAAGTCAAACTTTCCTAAGTTTGACCAAATTTGTATTAGAAATTATCAGTATCTATAATATCTAATAAATATAATATGAAAATATATTCCAAGATGAACCTAATAATATTGGTGTTGTTATGTAAATGCCCATAATTTTTTATATAAACTTGGTCAAAGTTAATGAGATTGACTTCGAATAAACCTAATATGCAGAGTAAAAAGGACCGGAGGGAGTATTCAATGCTCAAAATATCCTACTTCTTTAAAAACCTGGCCTGTGCCAACACCTATTTTATTTTAAGTTCTTACAAGTATCATGAAAAATAATGGAAATTCAATTTGGCTCCACGGAGCACATGCTCCCGAACCCAATTTTTTTCGAATGTCAAAAAAATCAAGCTAAATTTTTTATGTGATCTTAGTCACACACAAATGCTACTTGCAAATTTTAAGGCAAAAAGGTTAAGCATTTTGGCCTGTGAAAAAAAAAACAAATTGAAGACCAAATGTCACCCATTTTTTTTCACCGACGAAACACTGTTGTTCCATTTCACATGAAATTTGTCAAGCATGCTTGCCACACTAATACGAACATCTACAATTTTTTATTTTTATTTTTTGAATTTACTGTTCATCCAGGAGTATATGCTCCCGGGAGCCAAAACGCCCTCCTTTGATAAATAAAAGGCACAAAGTGATGCAAGAATTCTGAAATTCCTACTACTACTACTAGATAAGGCGGCATTTAGTACTTCTCGGATAGTACTACTAGAGGTGATAATCGGCAAAAGATCTGCAAGTGTTAGAAGATAGCCATCTCATTCAGTTTTCTTTTTCATAGAACAGTGCACCCGTTTTGTCTCTCTTCTCCTAATCACGCTGAGCGGACGGTCCACAAGAGAAGCTAGTGGGTGTCCCCCAGCACAACCCAATCATCTCATCTGCAATCATCATAGGTTTGTGACGCGGGAAAATCCCCCCCATCCATACACAAAACTGTACTCTTTCTTGTTAAATCTCTACTGCTAAAAAAGAAGATCTCGAATGAAGGCGCAATTTTGTAACGCGTGTCGTCCCATCGTATTTGTACCCGATTGTTCCTAGTTATCCACAGCAGCCGGCCACACTGATCTCGCCCATCGCCGTCCCACACTCAGGAACAACCTCGCGACAGCGAAGCTCAGGCGGACCTCCCCGGCAGCCCGTCATCCACTGGATCCCCTCGCGCGCTCCCGTGGCCGCACACCCGCCCCGAAAAATCTCCCCGTCGCCGTCGCCGTCGCCGTCAACACCACCCCCACCCCCACCCCTGGGCAAAACGCGTCCGCACGATGCCTCGCTCGTGGCTCGCTGGCGACGACGCCTCCCCGTGTCGCACCGGCCGGGGTCCGTACGTGCCTCCATCGCTGGCCACAAAACGGGGGCGCCAGGGCGAGGCGACGCCCGTGAGTCGACCACGGGCAGGATTGCATTATCCTCTCCCTTGCGCCACGCCCGCCATTCTTTTCCGCTGCCGCTCTGCTTTCCATTTCCAGGCGCAGCAGCAGCACCTGATTCCGCACGGACTAGATAGGTCCAGCTGCTCCGCTCTGCTCTGCCATTGGGAGGTGCCGCACCTGACACCTGATTCCTCAAGGTTGGTCTGGTTGATCCTCCTCTGCCTTTTGCTCTTTTTGGTTGGGCCGTGCACTTGTGTCCTTTGATGCTTGGTCCGTCGTCTTGCCGCTTTCCTTTTACGTATGTTCTTGCCGTCTCTGTACACCGGTATTCCGTGCTGGAGCTGGAGCTGGACGTAGCCTAGCTGCCAACGGGGCGTTCAGAGTATTTCATTGGTCTGCTTTGGATAATGGAACAGTGAGGGTAGGTTCCACTGTACTATATCTATCAGGTTCGGTATGTTGGAAGTAGTTCTTGACTTATCTCCACTCACATGTCGGTTGTGTTTCCTTAAAAATATACATATCCAATTCCCCTGTTCGGTTTTGTTTGGAGCCCTTGATTGGTCACTATACTACAGTAGAAAAGTGGTTGCTCAAATTTTCACCTGTTGGAGTTGACAGCCTCAAATGTACGTGCGATTTGATTGGATTTCTCTTCATTCTCCCCAAATCACGGACACGGTGTGCTGAGTGAATTTTACGACAAGATCATAGCAACACTGCCTGCGAGATACGTACCTGAATTTTGCGTTTCTTCTTTTCAGCGCAGAAACTCAGCAGATGGTTGTTCCACCATAGCTGCTGCACCGCTGATCAAATCAGTCTCGTCAGCGGCGTAGCACGTGACGTAATCCATGGCGGGCGCGGGCAGCTCCAAAGATGTAGCCGACTCGGTGGAGAAGTGGATGGCGTTCCCGTCCGGGTCCGGGTCCGGCGAGGAGACCAGCTTCACCCTCCCGACGCCGCCGTCGCTGTCCAGCGGGAAGGAGATCGTCGAGGAGCCGGGCGGTTCAGGCAGCGGCAGCAAGCCGCAGGGGTGGTGGCCCAAGCCGGAGCAGCGGCGCCGCAGCAGCAGCGGCACCGGCATGGGCAGCGCCAAGCCGTCCATGGAGGGGCGCGGGTCGTCCGACGCGCTGCCGCGGGTGTCGCAGGAGCTCAAGGACGCGCTGTCCAACCTGCAGCAGACGTTCGTCGTCTCCGACGCCACCCGCCCCGACATCCCCATCATCTACGCCAGCGCCGGCTTCTACACCATGACTGGGTACTCCGCCAAGGAGATTATCGGACGCAACTGGTACGTGCGCCATCGTCGCCGGTTTCTTGGTCGACCGATCAGTGCGATGCATGTTTGAGCTCTGCTTTTTGTGCAGCCGGTTTCTTCAGGGCCCGGAGACGGACCAGAACGAGGTGTCCAAGATCAGGGACGCCGTGAAGGCCGGCAAGAGCTTCTGCGGCCGGCTGCTCAACTACCGCAAGGACGGCACGCCGTTCTGGAATCTCCTCACCGTCACCCCCATCCGCGACGACAACGGCAAGGTCATCAAGTTCATCGGGTACGCGCTCACCTTATACTTGTCCAATGCCATTACATGTTGTTGCTCGAGCTGCGCTCTTATTTGTGATGATGGACGCGCAGGATGCAGGTGGAGGTGAGCAAGTACACGGAAGGGCTGAGCGACAAGCGCATGCGGCCGAACGAGCTGCCGGTGTCGCTCATCCGCTACGACGGTGAGCCACGCGCAACAACTCTGCCTTGGCCGTCGTCGGGTCACTCTCGACTCGATCGGCGCTGAAACTGACAATTCTCTGCACTCCGTGGGAACGCAGACCGGCAGAAGGAGAAGGCCATGTCGTCGATGACGGAGGTCGTGCAGACAGTGAAGCACCGGCGCGCGGACTCGCCGGAGCGGGAGCCGCCCAAGGCCAGCGACGCGGACAAGATCAGCTCGCCGCTCGTGGCTCCTGCCACCCCGTCCGGCGGCGGTTACAAGTCGCCCTACTGGGACCTGAAGAAGGAGGAGTCACGGATGAGCAAGATGATGAGCGGGCGCAAGTCCGGCCGCTCCTCCCTCATGGGGTCAGTCACCTGATCGCCGCACAGGTACTGTACACTGAATGAATTGGAACCTCGTCCTCACAATTGCAGAGGCTGTATGTGCAGATTCAAGGTGGGGAAGAGGAGCTCCGTGGGGAGCAGGGAGCCGGCGGTGGTGGAGGCGCCGGAGTTGAAGATGACGGTGGAGCGCACCAACAGCTGGGAGCGCGCGGAGAGGGAGAAGGACATCAGGCAGGGGCTGGACCTCGCCACCACGCTCGAGCGTATCGAGAAGAACTTCGTCATCACGGACCCCAGGCTCCCAGACAACCCAATTGTATGTAGCCGTAGCTGAAATCAGTTTTTACTTGTGCATGATGAAGACTAGTACAGTACTGATGGAATGGTCTTTTCTTGGGCAGATTTTCGCGTCTGATAGCTTCCTGGAGCTGACGGAGTACACGCGCGAAGAGATCCTAGGGAGGAACTGCAGGTGAGAAAAACAAAACTACAAATCCTGAAATACTTCCGTTTTGTGAATAAGCCTCGCCTTCTCAACTCACTAGATCATGAGTAGAAGTAACCAAACATATTGGTGCAATGGTAGTTTCCTAGTCAAAAAGCAAAGAAAAAAAATGCATTCTTGAACAGATTTAAAACCTCCGATAATTCGCTCGGTATCCGGGCTCATCTACACCTGGTGAACAGTAAAGAAAATTCCTATTTCTTGTGTGGCGCTAGATGCTCGAATGTGACGTTTGTGCAAAATTTCGAGGTGTTTGAACATTTGAAGAGCTCGTGGCAAAAAAAAAAAAAGACAAAATTGGACGTGAACAGTGTTGTTTCCAAAAATTTCTCCGGCACCCGAAAATCTTATTTTTTGCTACAAACTCCTTGAATGTTCAAACTTCATCAAATTTTGCATGGGCATCACGCACCTGAGCATATTGCACCACAAAATAATTCATATTTTTTTACCATTTAAAATGATTTTACTGTTCACACCCACTCATATGAGCCCGGGTGCAGAATAGCCGCGTCCTAAAACCTTCCCCTTCAAGGGTGTTTCAAGGACAACTCCGCTCCATAGCTTCACTAGTTGAGGAGATATGTTTGTCCTAAAAAAACTCAACTTGCTATTGTAGGTAGAGTGAAATTACAATGACCACTAGTTGATTTGACTAGAGATGCTTCACGTGCCCAGAGCTTGAAGTTATATGAAAACGCCCATCAATGACACCGAGTGACTCCAAGTCACTAGCCCACCCACTGCCTGTTTTCTCTCTAACTACCCTATGTCTTCCTCAAATCTTTTTCATGGCACAGTATGACAACACCTAGGGTTAGGGTTTGTCTTCACAGGCTTCCTAATGATCCTCATCTTCTCAAAAGCTTCAATCGCTTGTCCTCTCTTATCCCCTTCTTGTTTCTTCCGTCTCCCACCATTGTCAGTAATGGACTAACATGTTGTTGTCACCTCGTTCTTCTAAAGTACATCGTCAATGCCCCTCATTCTCCCATAGTACATGTTGTTGCCGTCTCATTCTTCTAGAATTTTTCTCAATCTCATCACCGTCTGATGGAGGGAGGATCGACTTCGTCCCCTGCTAGAGCACTCCACCGACCAAGACTTTCTGCCAACGAACTTCACCATCACCTTCTTGATCACACTCCGGACAAACACATGATGCTTATCAAGGAAAGTGATACACAAGCATATTGATTGAAAAAACAAGAAAATAGGTAGTTAGTTTAGACATTTCACAACAACTTCTCCCTAATATGAAATTTGGAGCTAGTTTGATAGCCAGCACACATTTCACACCTTTATAATCTAGGGGTGGAGTGGAATTTAGAGATAGAGTGGGAGATGAGGTGGAGATTTCTCAAACTTACTTCTTAGCTAATCATGGGCTTGTCTCGTCTAGGGTGGAGTTTTTTGTCAAGATAAATGACTCTACAAAAGGATATATTAGAATCAAGACAATATATCTCAAAATTCTTATCAAAAACAAAGGCGAACTTGTCATCGTTATGCTACCATAGCTCTTGTAGACGATTGACAACATCAATAAATTTAGCCACTAAAGCACCCGCAAAAGCGTATGGATGACCAAACCTTGTTGAATTGCCACAATTGTAGACTACCTTGTAGAAACGAAGATTGACAATAGCGCCAACATATCAGGTGAACTACCCCAATATAGGTAAACAATGGTGGTTGTACCACTAGGTCAGGCTGATGACCTTTCTCGCGAAGGTTCGAAAAAGAAGAGCGCATTGAAGAAGAATAAGGATGGCAGTGCAGTGGGTTTGGCCGCGTATAGCTCCTCTAGATCACCCATATCAAGCTACTCATTCTTGTTTCTAGCCACGTTAATATCCATGTGGCACAAATTCCTATGCATGCACACAACTTCCAGATACCCAACTATTCATGGATATTCATGGAGCAAATGCAAAAAGCATTAGCAACAATGGCAAATAAAAGCCCCAAACACAATAAGAGTTACATATTACCAATATAATACAAATATTTAATCATGGATATATGCCATTGGATTTCTAGACCATCTATAAGGCTTAGGGTCACTATCATGTGGAATCTACCTGTTAGATAAGTATCTACAACAAAATCTACACCATGGCCAATCCTTGAGCTCGTGGATACCCATCATGAAAAATAGTGGGCATAAACTGCCCTCCAAACCACACCTTACATGCACGGTGTCCATGGGTATTGGGATTCATAATAATATTGCCCCTACCTTTTTTATTATGATTTCGTCGAAAATACACATGGAGCCATGCCGCCGACAAACACGAAGTATCATCATGTCATCAATGAAGAATGATGAGAACAATAAGGCCTACAAGTTTCTCCAGGACACCGCACATATCATCGACGAAACATTGGAGACGAAAGATTCTTATTCGAGACTACGTCACCATCACATCGCAGCGATATCACCACAACACCAATAGCTAAGGGCAACTCTAATCGATCCCCAAAACTTAACTCCAATGGATAAGAGCAACTCTAATCGATCCCCAAAATTTTACTCCTAAACCCGTTTTCAAAACTTAATCCCAAAAATTCAGTGTATTGGAAGGGTGTTTCTAATCGATGCCAACATTAATCCCCAAAAGACACAATTCCAAACCAGACCATTCCAGCGTTTGTGCACCCACATGATTTGCCCCTAGTTTTTAACATACTTAACATAAACTACTGATCATTTTAACATCCAATTGCTATAAATGGAAGCTCCCAGTTTCTATTAAATTGAGCTGCTCATTAAACCACATATTTGAATCAAAAGCTTTCGTGCTAATTTGTGCAACTAGCTCAAACGAAATATAATCTAAACTGAACTAAAATTAAAAGTTACTCCCTTCATCTCCCAAAAGGTCTACAAATTTTGTCTCAAGTCAAACGGTGTAAAGTTTAACTAAGTTTATAGCAAAAAATATTAATAACTAAAATACAAAATTAGTATAACTAAATACATAATAAATTTATTTTTGTATGATATTATTTTGTATCTTAGTTGTTGATATCTTGTTCTTATAAACCTCGTGAAACTTTGCACAATTTGACTTAAAAAAATTTAGAAGAGTGGACTAACGGGAGAACGTTATATTTTTAGGGATATATACAAACACCTTATCTTTTCCTCCTCATATGCACATGCATGCATACACTTGAGGACAAAAGCTAGTGTCATACTGATTCTTCTCATTTCAAAAATTCAAAATGTTTTATAACTCAAATCGGTGGTCGACTTCAAGCCAGATTCCATGTTGGTATGTTTCGATGATTTTTATTCGGGTCCAAAGTTACCACGTCTAGATTATGTAAGTTATCATGTTTGTGTACATAAGTTATCATAGCAAAAGAGCATGTGCATTGCAACGAGAGAGAGAGAAACTACCACACGCCCCTAACCCAATAACCATGATTCAAGACCCCAATAGACTCACGTGCTTTATTTCAAACACATGTCATTCCATTTGTGTTTCTGCTTATCCTTCTTCTCACCGTCGTCGACGATGGCCTCAGTGCTCACACAATTTCAGCACGGTTGAATATGGTCAATCATAAGGTATCTCTCTCGCGCGGCATAAGATGAGAAATCTATTTTCCTGTGAGGTTTTGATCAGGCGTGCATGTGTGATCAAAGATCACGCCTGATCAAAGATGGTTTCTTTCATCTCCACTTTGATTTTGGTGAGGTATTCATTTTCAATTTGGATTGACACTAGTACGAAAGAAAGACGGACCATGCGCTACTGGTTTAGGTTGCACCCTAAATATCATTTAAAAATTTGCAAACACGTAAAATAACATATTCAGATTGTACACATTTTTCTAATTAAGTTCCATATATAAAAAGTTAAATTTGGAATTAGGGTTTAAAAGATATGGATTTTTTTTAAAAAACATTTAATATGAACTGTGGGTTGATTAACCTAAATATGAGGCGGTTTGTTGCAAAAGTGGAAATCTGACTCAAAACTTGACTTAGGGTTGATTAACGAAAATGTTAGGGTTTTTTTTTTGCAAAAGGGAAAATCTAACTTAAACCTAGACTGCAAATTGATTCTCAGAAAAGTCAAGGCTTTTCTACAAAATACATGACGAACGGGCAGAAATAATCCTCCCTTTATTAGTAGGTCTAGATGTTATTTACACTGAAATTAGCGGGGCATAAAATAGGTTTCCCAACCTTCTCCCACATGCAATAAAGGACAAAAAACGGATGCTATCTTAGATTCTCCTCATTTCAATAATTAAAATGTTTTGTAGGTCAAACGGCCTGTCTGATTTAAAATCTATTTTTATATTGAACCCGTCACGACAAAATCTTCAAAACTAGATCCCTTGATGATATGGGGCTGTTTGGTTCCAATAAGTCACCTGACTTATAAGTCAGGTGACTTAAAACCACTGACTTATAAGTCATGCCTGTTTGGTTGTCACCTGACTTATAAGTCATCTGAGCATACCTTCCCACCTTGTTTTTTATGTAAAGGTGGTGGGACCCATGTAAAAGAGGGTGACTTATAAGTTTTAAGTTGGGGTGGAGCAACTTATGACTTATAAGTTGGGGTGACTTATAAGTTAGGTCTGTTTGGCAAAATAAATCATTTTTTGCACTTTTCGACTTATAAGTTGTGACTTATTTAGAACCAAACAAGGCCTATGTTTCATGGGTTTCTTCGGATCCAAAGTTAGCGGGTACCTAAGTTGTCCCGTGATACGTATGTTGCCACACTTTTTACACAGAATTTAATGGTGTTTGTTTTCAACAACTTTTTTTCATGAGTCAATGTTACCATTGTGTTGTACTTAAGTTATCAGGTCTGCCGTGCGTAAATTATTATACTTCACACAGAAGTACGAGTGAATGTTGCTATTTGTACTGTACGTGAGTTATTAGGTGTGCGTTGCTTAAATTAACATGTTATTCAAACAAAAGTTATTGTGGTATGTTTCAATAACTCCTTTTCTTTTTCATTATTAAGTCCATTGCGATGAGATCTTCAAAAACCGGATCTCATGTTTCTGTCGAGGGTCTCTCGATTGGCTGGTCTGATTAGTAACAAGGTTCGCTTGTATACAAAGAAAATCATAGTTTAGAGTTGTACCAAAATATTGTCCTAGTTGACTAGAGATGCAATCTCTCAACTCCCAGGCCAGAGTTCAATTCTTAGTTTTATCATGCTTCTTTTCCTATTAAAACTGCAGGGCGCTACATCCACCACACTCGTGTAAAAAGGAAACAAATCTTGATCAATACAAAGTACCAACTAATCAACTATCCCTGTAAAATCAAATCTCGTTAAGGCCTTGTTGGGTTTTTTTTTTTTTTTACGAAAAGGCCTTGTTGGGTTTCATAGGATTTCAAGGGGTTTGAAGGGGATTAGAAGGGATTAAATCCCGAGCAAGTCAAAATCCACCTCAAATCCCTTCATTCCTCTCCAATTCCCTTGTGGCGAGGATTAACTGAACGTGCCCTAAAGCGCCAACAAATCGCAGTGACTCATTACAGCCGCACGATCACGGTCGGACGGATCCAAAGCCGTTCGGATCTATCTCAAACAGGCGCTGTTCTCCATTTAACCATGAACAGAGAAGCTTAGCTTCGCGAGGAGATTGATGTCCATCGTCAGCGTCGCGGGGGACTCCTCCCCTCCCTCTGCCCCGCGGCGCCGGAGCTGTGGCCGGAGAGTATGGGAGAGGAGTTTGATCTGGATATGGCGGCTAGGGCTTTGGAACGTGAGCACGGTGCGGCCGGAGTTTAATTGTGCCCCGGCCTTGCATGAGAGGCTGAATCCTGACTGATATTGAGTCCCCGCCATCAGCCACATACCGTCAGACCTTCGTGCAAGAGCAGCGCCACCGCCCCATGGCGGAGGTCGCCGCATTTCTAGCCACCACATTTTTGCAATGCTTGTTTCCCCCCTTCGATTTTCCCATGTCTCTTCTGCTTTAGTTTCCCATGTGTTCTTGTCAGTCTCTTAGCCTTAGGTGATGTAATGTGGATTGATTTTGTTGGTGCTTGCAGATTTCTTCAGGGGTCAGAGACCGACCAGACCACCGTTGACAAGATCAGGGAGGCCATCAGGGAGCAGAAGGAGGTCACCGTCCAGCTAATTAACTACACCAAGAGCGGTAATTTTTGCATCATCTAGTGACAGATTCCTGGACTCACATTTTAGTTCTGCTCCCTCCCCTATAGGCAATCCAGTTTCTAGGATGTAGTGGGATATTTGCTTACCATATCTGCTTTTGCTTCTGATGGATCAGGGAAGAAGTTCTGGAACTTGTTTCACCTGCAGCCTATGTGGGATCAGAAGGTAGCGGAATGTTATCCAAATGCTGAATTTGTTCTGGAGCTTGCAGTTACAGTTACATAGATGGAGCCAGCATGGTGCTGTAACGATTGTGCATTTGTATGCTACTATGGATACAGGGGGAGCTTCAGTACTTTATCGGCGTGCAACTTGATGGAAGTGATCATGTTGAACCCCTCAGGAACCGACTCTCGGAGAACACTGAGATACAAAGTGCCAAACTGGTAGGTCAGCTCAGCTTGAGTAATTTCCCTTTCGAGGATGTGAAGGTACTTTGGTTCAGAAAAAAATATGTTGGGAATCGAAGATAAAATTAATCTAGAGAGCTATAATTAGTCAGCTGGATATCATTTGGGTGCTTAAGCTCCATGGCCTTTTTTACTGTAGATGATTTGTTTTGTAAATTAAATGCAACGTTCCAAAAACACACAACAGATTGTGTATTTTCAAGAAGCGTGGGTTGTAGTAATGTTTCTGCAGTCAACAGCCTCTGTAAGAAATTCTAAAATAGGCTGGAAGGTTCCAAAATCATTGCAATATGGGACTACTTAAAAACCTAGACACATAATGTTCCTGTAATAGTAACACTTGAGTTTTGCTAACTATTTGTAGAATGAGATCTAACCAGGTCAAAGCTACAGCAGGGAATGTGGATGAAGCAGTCAGGGAGCTTCCTGATGCCAACTTGGTAAGGTACATCTACTTTTTGTTGATTTAATGTTCCTAAAGGAATCTGAACTCAACATTGCTTTGGCATGTTTTGTTCTTGATTGGTATATGAAAGAGTGGATAGATGATTGTCGAAGTCAATTTAAAGACCGAATAAAGTCTTAGTTATTCCTATGCAAATAATACAAAAACCAGAATATGCAACATAAGGTATAACATCGTAAATTTATACGAACACATGCTGGCATGCACATTGGACTGATCAGATAGGTTGCTACTTGGTCCTTGCAGTACACAATAGATTTTTTTCCTGGATATTGTTACTTGATATGAATATATTGGAAAAGTTTTTTGTTTAGCCAGTTCTTTGTGATTGGTGGACGTCATGCTATCTGTTACTTTCCCAGAGACCAGAGGACCTGTGGGCAATGCACTCACTATCTGTTTCTCCAAAACCTCACAAACAGAATAACTCTTCTTGGAAAGCTATAGAAAAGGTATATTCTATCTGTTGTTTGACAAGATAGTTCTGTATTCTTGCAGTAGCAATAGCAGAGTCAAATTGTCTCAACCTACATGATACTTGAATATATTAGTATAATAGTTGATGAATTAGAAATAAGAGAGGGGTTTATCTGGACCTACGAGCACCAGCTCTAATGTCCTCCTAGACCCCCATGATGTCATCATGATTTGGGTCATATTAACCATTGAAAGCGCATTCGCAAAAAAAAACCCCATCAAAAATGCAGATGCTTTTTGATTATGATGTGTGCAACATGGTATTAAAAAATGATAGAGATACATTGTGTTCAACATGGCCAAAAGTTAGCTTCTGAAAGAAATTCTTCATTTTCTTAGTTCCTAAAACAATCTTAGTTAATTAGATTTTCTTAGCTATAAGGGTGCATGCATCTCAAGACGAGGAGTTATGAATTGACAGCTTGGAGCTGCAGCCCCTAGGTTCAGCCAATCATTGCCCTTAGAAACAATAGAACCCCTACCTTAGTATCCACTAATTTAACTTGGGACTTCGTTTAGTGCTTCAAGGCACATCATTTAGTGCGCGACCAATAGGGTCTTATCTCTTATGTTATCTTTTTTGACATGCCTGCCCGGCAAGCGTGCTTTTAAGTTGCTAGAAAGAAGGCAAGGAACAAAAGGGGGAGATTGTTAATTACCCACATACTTTTAATGTTTTTTTTTGGCATTGCAGATTATAGAAACTGGGGAGAAGATTGGCTTGAAACACTTCAAGCCAGTTAAACCTCTGGGGTGTGGGGACACTGGCAGGTACAACTCCTCAACGGTGTCTAAACTTTTTAGCTAATCTCCATTTCTACTGTTATGAGAGCATGGGGCTGCAAGAACAGTGTGTAGTTCAAAATAGTACCTATGTCTACGTAGACAGGTGTGGTTAATTCAGTAAGCTTGGCTGTGTCATGTCTAACTTATTTATGTGGTAGCCATCTTGTATGATTTTCCTGCAGTAAATTCGGTGTTTTAGGCAATCCTGTTCAAATTTATCCCTATTTATGTAGGCAGGTCTGGTTAATTCAGTAAGCTTGGCTGTGTCATGTCTAACTTATTTATGTGTGGTAGCCATCTTGTATGAATTTCCTGAAGTAAACTTCGTGTTTTAGGCAATTCTGTTCAAATTTAGCCCTATTTCTGCTATCAAATTATTCTTTTTTGTCTTCAGTGTACACTTGGTTGAGTTGCAAGGTAGTGGTGAATTATTTGCGATGAAGGCAATGGACAAATCAGTGATGTTGAACCGCAACAAGGTATTTTTTTATAAATAAATATTGACATGCTATTATAGATTATCTTTCTGTACAATCTTTTGCATTGAATATCTTAATGAAGTTCTGTAATGCGCAGGTGCACCGAGCTATTATTGAAAGAGAAATATACTCTCTGTTGGATCATCCTTTTCTTCCAACATTGTATACTTCATTTCAGGTTTGTTTCATGACCTTATGCCTTACCTGAGTTATTTTACATTTCTAGTAAACAAAATATGGAAGGTAATATGAAGATTTAAGCCCCATTAGTTGCTTCCTGTTAATCTCCACAATGGCCAATACTATATTTCAAGATAACTTTATTGGAACATTTATGCTAATTCTTATTGTCTATTTTCAGACGCCAACACATGTTTGTCTTATAACAGACTTTTGTCCCGGAGGAGAATTGTTTGCGGCACTGGATAAGCAACCCTTGAAAATTTTCAGAGAAGATTCTGCAAGGTAGCTGCTCAAATCGTAACATCTGGGCTAGTCGTTACATGCACGGTATTTTCTAGAAATTGTAATTTGCTTCCAAAGTTGCCCTTTAATTCACTCTTTACTTATGGGCTTTGTGCTTCCAAATTTAGCTTCTTCTAAGGGAAATACTAACTAATCCTACACTTAATCCCATGATCCTGCAACTGCTGTTCCCTATTTTCCACGTGGAGATTATATTTGTCGATATGTAATCAAAAGTGCTTTCGTTGTTATATTCATACTATTAAAATGACGGTCAAAATTTCATCATGTAGACTCTGGACACTGAGAGCTGGAAAACCAAAAATCATTTATTTGTAATGGAGGGACATCTTTTCCTTCGGGCATTTCCAGTGGTTCAAATTTTGTATGTGCTGATTCCCTGAAAGGGGAACGTGAGGTCTTTCCAAAAGGTTGGAAAACTTAAGTTTTAGCCGTGGGAAATAAGAGGAATAACTCTAGCAGCCAGTCATGATTCTTTTCTTGCCCAGGCTGTTGTGGCCAAATGGTAGAAATTGGAACAATTGACCGCACAACTTTTTGCAAGTTCCCTTATAACTGAACCAACCCATATGGTAAGATTTCTGGTCTGACAGTATAGGGCAGGGATAACAAAGACAGCAGAGATCACGGGAGCGAAGGACACTTTGGGATTCTCTCTTTTTACTCTCCCATCCAAACCTGTATTACAACTCCTTTATATGATAAGCAAACTGGCAATCTAGATGGAAACTAGCTTAATGTCTTTCTGTAAAAAAATAGTAACAAAGTCAAATGATTTATGGTCAGCCTATTCCTTCCTGAACTCAAATAGTAATTATTTCAACTGGCTCTAGAAAATTACTGAGTAAAACATGTGGTATTTTTTTGATAATACCTTGTATTTACAGGTATTGCAATATCTGAATATTTTACCTGATATAAGCTTTTTTACTCACTATGGCACTAAGACGATATATCTAGGCATCTTTTGCTAATACAGTCGCTCTGATACACTTTTTCATACTGCTTTCTTTTCTGAGAAAACATAAGAGCTTTGTGTATCCATGCATTGATAGAAAGAAATAGTTTTGGACAAGCCTACAGGTAGGTCGGTTAGAACCAGAGCCCAGCTACACCCCTGAGCGCTAAGCTTGGTAGTGATGTTATGAGGCTAGCTGCCCCTGCAGTAGCCTGTGAGCAGCGCTATACTCTTTCTTACTATTCCACTGAATGAAACTGCTTCTAGCAAATATTGTCATCAAATTCTTGTAGTTTGGAGTACATAACTTGCTTGTGTGAAGGAAAAATCTAGCTGCTCAAAACCACAGGACTGTTCACTATTTTTGCTCTTCTGTTTCCCATTATAGAAATAAGCAATTGTTTAGATTCTGCAGTGATAAGATCATGTCTTAACAATATGCGTCTACTATATTCAACTTACACATTTTCTTTTTCTGTAACATTCTTTTGATCTATGTTTTCTGTAGGTTTTATGCTGCGGAGGTTGTAATTGGTCTCGAGTATCTTCATTGTCTTGGTATAGCCGTGACTTCCTAACTTAATATTTTATTATTGACAAAGTTTCTTAGAAGACCGTGCATTAGTGTTTCACTGTTAACAATGTGGTGCTGTACTTGTATATGTTCTTTAAAGAGACCGACTTGGTATTTCTGTTATGATGTATGAGGTTGATAATTTGCATGCACTATTTCTGATGCAGGTATTATATACCGTGATTTGAAACCAGAAAACATTTTGCTCCAAGCCGATGGGCACATTGTGCTGACTGATTTTGACCTCTCATTTTTGACTTCTTCGAAACCCCATGTAAGTTGAGGAAACACATTTTAAGTGCTGTAAAACTTTTCTAGAATACTTAACTGATTCCTTATCAGCTGGTGAGTTGTTTCACACAGATAGAATTTGAAACATTTTGAAGATTAAATCAAAAGCATTCCTCATACTCAAGTAACCATCTTTGACTTTTTCACATCCATCGTATTCAAAGTGAAGATAACAGATTACCTAATTGCCAAGAACATTTTATGTAGACTAGTAGTACTTTTTTGACCTATATTAAAAACCTGGACTGGACCGCCTGTTCGACCAAAAAAGAACACAACCAGCAACCTTCTCAGCTTAGAGATCATCCATGCAGATGTGAAAAATGGGCAGGAGGCTGGCTTTTTACCTGAACCGCTGACCTGATCTGTCTGATAGTGAATTATTTGGATGAAGGCCGCAGTCGCTTACCACGTGTTTCTTGTCAAACTCTTACATGGTGCCTTCTTCCCTTGCTGAGGTGCAGGCGCGCAGTGGTGCAGGGTGCACCGCCAGCCGTGCAAGGTCTGCACAATTGCCTTGGCCCATCTGATGTAGTCTACTAACAGATATGGAGCCCACAGGCCCAAGGGCACACACCAGCCAGCCAGTGCTTGTATTGCATGGCATCTTGCTTGACATTTCCGTGCCCGAGCTTGAACTCCATAGTTAGCAAATTTGTCTCACTTAGAAAAATGGAAGTTAGCAAATCTATCACTTTTCTCAACCAACTCTCTGTATTTTCTGAACTAACTAATGCTATATGAGTATAATATCAAAAATTCAAAAACTGGTGACTGAATTATTTAACCGATATCCTGACTGTTCATTTGCCTGTCCGGTTTTAAAGTTGCTTTTTGTTTACTACAATTATACATCTTTATATTTTTCTTGTAAGGAATCGCTTCAAACAAAATATTTATAAAATTCATGATGGGCATCTCTCCTGCAGGTTATAAAGCATTCAACATCACTAAAACGAAGGAGATCTCAAGAATTTACGCCGCCTTCATTTGTCTCGGATCCTTCCACTCCATCGAATTCGTTTGTTGGAACTGAAGAATACATTGCACCAGTACGATACCTTGCTCTCAGTCATAGCATGTCAACTTGTTGGTTTACATATAATTTTTTGTTGGAACTCAATAATTTTCATTGTTGGAGTAATTGTTTACAATATAATCTGTAACGTAACCTGCATCATCATAACATCCTAATGTACTACGGCCTCCATCACAAAACAGATCACTTTTGGCCTAAACTTCCCATCTCCATATATACGTTTGGCCTGTTTCAGGTTTTGAAGGTATACAAAAGATAGATTATACTCACTTTTGGCCTAGACTTAGTTACAGTAGATAGATTAATCCACTCAGATTCAAACTTAGTTACAAAAGATAAATTATAATCTATCACAACTGTTTCAGGTTTTGACATTCCATTTTCACTTTTAGCCTGTCTCAGGTTTTGGCCTAAACTTAGTTACGAAAGATAGATTCAACTTACCTTTCGCCTGTTTCAGAAGATGGAATGTCAAAATCTGAAACTTGCGATGATAACCCATTCTCTCTTTCATGTATATTCTATTGTCTCTAATAGTTCTATAAAATTTAATGTTCCCAACATTGTCTCACTGATATTCATGACCACAATAAATAGCATGGTCATCTTTTGAGAAAATATGAATCTTACATCGCCAAAACACTATTTTATAACATGAACTTTATGCTAAAACATCATCTATTTCAAAGTGAAGGGAGTTTTATAACAGAGTAAGTTGTTTTTTGATCTTCCACGTAGTCTGAAGTGTACTATTCTAAACTACCTGATGTTATTGTAGCTATTTCCTAATAATTAACACAGTTGCCTTGCCTTTTTTTGTGTGTTATTTTAGGAGGTCATCACAGGTGCAGGACATACAAGTGCCATTGATTGGTGGGCTCTTGGTAAAGCTATAACACTAATAAATATATTTTATTATATATAAATTATCTGATGTACCAGTGTAGTAAACCACGAGTAAAAAACGGTTAATTTTTTTCTCCTCTCTTCTTAGTAGGAGTAGCAATCACCTGAAAAGGTGTAGATAGCTGAAATTTCTGAGGGTCAGCTACATCTCATGATTATTGCCACAACAATCCACACAGAGAGCCATATATATTGTCAGTTTGACTACAAAAAGTCTCTGTACACTAATATAAGACGTTTTTGCAGTTCAATTTGAACCGCAAAAACATCTTACATTAGTTTACAGAGGGAGTAGTGGTTAAGTTGATTGTTTCTCGAACACATTTAAGCCGAGTGTTTAGTTTCACAGTATTGTTTATATCTCATGTAGTCACGTGGAAACATTTCAGCAAACTGGGTTTGCAGTGATAAATCAGGGATAAATCCTTAAGGTTTACATACCTGTTCTTTTCATGTTGTTTCCTGCTTTTTTTCTGTATAAGAACTCTTAAGGTTCACATAATTAAATCAGGGATAAATCCCTTCTATCAAAAAATATTATATGCATACTAAATTCTTTGGTTCCAACTTGAAGCGGATAAACCATGTGATGTTTGTATGATGTAGAGTAGTGCATATGATCCTATATCTGCAATATCTAGATAATTATGAAATGTGTTAGAAACGAGATGTATTCTTAAGTATCTCCAACCATTCTAATTGTAAGGTGACGTTAATAGGTAATACTACTGTGAAGTCAGCTAACATCCTTTCCATGCTATAGGAATTCTATTGTATGAGATGCTGTATGGGCGTACACCTTTTCGAGGAAAGAACAGGAAGAAGACATTTTATAACATCCTGCACAAAGATCTTACCTTTCCTAGTAGCATCCCGGTAAGATTTTTTTCTTCCCTATCTATAAAACAAAGAGCTGAGTATTTTGTGATGTAGGCCAATTATTCTTGCTCAATATATTCAGTTCTAAATGGTAAAACTTGAATGTAAGTACAATCTCTTGAGCAAATTTCGGTTGTTACACAGCTGTATTTTACAGCGTGGAATGAATAACGACACGTCATGTCTGTCTAAAACTGCTTCAGTATATAGTACATTTTGTTTGTTTGTGTCAATTTGTTAACTGAAGTACGTTCTTCAGGTTAGCCTGGAGGCGAAGCAACTAATCCATGGACTGCTTCAGAGAGATCCCTCTTCTCGCATAGGTTCAAATACTGGTGCAAATGATATCAAGGAACATCCATTTTTTGAAGACATCTATTGGCCACTTATACGTTGCATGGTGATCTAAAAGTTTTTGGTTGCAGAAAGCTTCCAGAGTATGATAGCTTAGTTTGTTATTAATGTTTAAATAAGTTTGGATTTGCAGAGTCCCCCGGAGCTTGATGTTCCGTTGAAGCTGATTGGCAAGGAATCTCAACCAAAAGTGAAGCCCGAGGAAGGTGTTATCGATACATTTTAAGGTGGAAATGACGCAAGATAATTTCACAACATGTTCTCCGTGTCAAGTAATGTTTGTCATTGTCAATGTTTTGTTACGAACTTGCAAGAAGATGAATAATTGACATTTATAATGATTAAAATAGTCAAACTCTAATTAGATAATGAGAAAACGGGGGCGAGTATGAACAAGCGGATGAGTATGCGTGGACATATCATACGCGAAGGCTTGGTCTGTGCCTAGTAAAAGCAGGTCTTGTGTAATCAAAGCAGGCCGTCGTACTGAAATAAGTACTACATTACTTACAGTGTAAATTTTTTCTTGAGTTATGTTTTTTCTTGTTTGTAAACTGATATTATTGATTTTTGCAGGACTGTTTGCAGGACGTCCATGTGGTAGGAATGGTTGTTCTTAACCAAATAAGAGGCTTGCAAGTCCTGTGAAGTGATAGAAGGAAGCGTGGCCTTCAGTGTTTTCACTTTGAGATGCCTCGAGATCCTGTACATGAGCTATTCTTTTGGTTAGATTAGGAGCTTAATGTATCCTGTAAATAGGATATTATTCCTGTAAAGTTTCACTCTTCCTGGAGATGGTATGGTAAGATGTACGCGGCACGGATAATGTACTTTGAAAAGATCTGAAAATTTGCTTCTTTACAATAAAGCTTGTATTTACAAACCATTAGGATTACTGTAATACCTGTTTTAAGGATTTTCGGCTCATTGGATCCTCCTTCGATAGCTAAAAAGGAAATAATTTTCTACACGACAAAATACAGAAATCCGTTGCCGCATCTCGGTCTCAAATCTAGTTTGTTCTACATAGAAACTATTTCTCTGTCAAACATTTCAAGCCAGTACCTTAGCAGGTCCATAAAACTCATGGTAATTTCAAGTAAACTATTCTAGCTATCTATATACTCCTATATACCAAAACTAAATTCTGCACAAGGTGTTATTGCTGGAGCCTCTCGGCCATACGACTGAAAAGAAAAAAAAACGGCAGTCCGAGGATTGGAGTACATCAGACATCGAGTAAATTACATAGAAATACCACAATTGAGGCATTGGAAGCAGATTGGTACCAAGATTGGTAATTTTTACATGTCAGTACCAAGATTGGGGCGAGTCGTTGCAAAAAAGACTAAAACTGCGTTTTATACGTATTGACAGAAAAGCTGACCGGTTGGGCCCGCCTGTTAGGCGCCACACTGGCCAGTGCGCGCGTGCCCGCGCGCTGACTCGGACGAGCCCGGGTCGAGCCGTTTAGGGCGCGGCTGGTGCGGTCGAGCCACACCCCGCTCACTCCCCCCGCTCTGCTTTGCGTTCTTCTTCCTTCTCTCTGCCTCGCCGCCGCCTGCGCCCGCCCCCGCCGGCCGCCACGCGAAGCTGCCGCAGCCATGGTTTTTGAAGACGAGAGCAGCGACGACAACTCAAGCCTCCCGTACATGCACTCGGAAACCTCCACCGATGGGCTCAACCAGGTCAGTTACTCCATTGGAGCTAGGGTTAGGGCTAGGTTTAGAAAAATTTGGGGATTTTTCTGTGTAGGTGGTCTTTGGTGTGAGGATTTCGTTTGATTTGCTTTGTCCTCGTCCTCTGCACATGATGCTAACTTGGATTTTGCTTGGGCAGGTGCCTTTCTCTCTTGAGGACCCGGATTACAAGGGTCTTGAGCTAGATCTGATAGTGCTGTGCGAGAAGCATGGGAAGCCACCAGAGAGGCTTGTTGCATTTGAAGGAACAATGACTGGGAGAAGGTTCTTAGCATGTGCAGAGCCGGTATTTTTCTTGCCTTATTGATTATGCACAGGATATGTTCATTGGAAGTGACAGAGTCTTGTTTGCCAATTGTGATTCAGTTATGTGTATGGTAATTTTGTTAGTCATATATGTCATACTGTAGTGCTCATTGTAGGAATGGTGAATATTATGGTCAGTGGGGTGCATTTAGGCTAAATATAGGCTCAAGCATGCTTTGTTGTGTGCACATGAATGCTCTGTTGTGTGCACATGCTATTTATTTATGCTTGTATGCAATGTTGCTTAGTACTCACATTAGCCCCTCCATTACCTGATGTGTGACTCTTAATAAGTAACTGTTGCTTACTGCTGACAGTAGGTACTGTCATTAGCTAGTTTGTTCCTGTAGGCTAATGTAGTGTATTTAGCTAGGCTAATGTAGTCTGGTTTGATAACTCTTCATTCGGTAATTTCTATGTTCCATTTGTTAGTGATATATGGCAAAGTAGTTCACTGCTAGAGTGGTAGTGCAGATTGTAGGATTCCATTATATTAATGGCCAATTGTAAGTTGGTTATTATGCAAAGTTGAATGGAGTGTTACTCTGCTAATTATATACTGATCACCCTCTTGCTTAGCACATAGCTGTGCAAATTCAGTGTTGGTCAGTACCAACATTAGCTACTGGCATGAACTAACTGTTGCTTACTACTCATAGTAGTTGTATTGTACTAAATTTTGCCTTGTTGTTTTTCCAAGAAGGTCAGAATTGTGGGTTTGTTCAGTGGGTTGATGAGTAGTGGCCCCCAACAATGGAGAATGCATTGCTGAAGCTTTGGTCAATGGTTGAAGAGAGCAAGTCTGCTAGGGTGAATGATAATCTTCAAAGTGCTTTAACTATTCACCATTTGACAGAAGAAAAGAAGAAGCTGGATGTAGATTATGACAAGTTAGTGAAATATGTGCATCAACTTGTGGACTTTCAGCAGGATAGGGTTATGGATTTTAGTTATCTGCAGTCAGCTGTCACATATCAGCACGAATGCAGAGCTGAATTGGTGGCTCGTAAGAATGCAGAAATGGCAAAGAAAGATGCAGCTACAGAGAAGCTTCAACAGAAGTATGAAATCATGTGCAACCTGACAAGTGCTCAAGCAATTGCCATCCAAAACCTCAAGTTGAAGAATATGAAAGAGAAGGAATTGCTGAGTGAGGCTAGGATGAATTTGGAGTTGAAGAATGCAGAGTTCACAAAGTTTGAGGAGAAGCTCGCCCAAGAGAAGCTAGAGTTGAAGTTCCAGGTTGCTGATCTGCTGAAGCTCAAGGAAAACCATAATGAAGAGAAGCAAATGCAAGAGTTTAAGATAACTGAGCTCATGAAGGCAGAGGAGAAGCTGAAGGAGAAGATCAAGGGGATCCAGGCCATCTTGGAGAACTGAACAAGATGAATTGAGATTAGTGGGCATTGCAGACCTTTTGGGAAGGATGGCTGTGCAATGACCTAGTAACTTAGAAGTATGGTTGTGTAATGTATGGTTCTAGTACTAATTGTGAACTCTGGCTGTTTATCTACCTAGTAATATGCTATTCATCCTTTTGTGAGAAAAGGATGGATTGTGCATTTGAACTCCACTATGTAATGTGAACTCCAGTGATGCTTATGTTAGACTGAAAATGTTTACATACTGATGCTTATGTTATTCTGATGGTTAAATGCTTCTTAAATGCATATAGTTACATATGTTAGAGTGATTCTTAAATGCTTAAATGCATTTGCAAAAGAAATAGTTTGTTATGGTACAGTGATGCTTTAGGTGGTTTCGTCGACCCCGAGCCACCGTAGACCCTAGTTGATGGCTTTAGGTGGTTTCGTCGACCCCGAGCCACCCTAGACCCTAGTTGATGGCTTTAGGTGGTTTCATCGACCCCGAGCCACCCTAGACCCTAGTTGATG